ATGGAGTGGCTGGGGGCTTTAGACACAGAGAGGGAGAGGAGTTGTGTGCTGACAACCGGGGGGCAGGCTTGTAGTGTATATCCTTTGGTTGGTTGATGATGCATGGAGGAGATTATAACCATGACAATGAAACGATATACAATAGGATGAATGTAAAACTAATGTCCTCCCATGTAAACTATCACATAATTTACAATAAAGCATTAAAAAAAAAAGAATTATAGCCTTGAAAACCCTACAGTGGGTCAATTAGAGTCAGAACCAACTCGACAGCATTTAATAGCAACATGCTGTCAAGGAGCCCTGTTGGTATAGTGAATTAAGTGTTGGGCTGCTAACCATAAAGTTGGCAGTTCAAACCTACAAGCTGCTCCACTGGAGTAAAGAAGAGTTCGGTTGCTTCCATGAAGAGTCACAGTCTCAAACTCCAAAAGAGCAGCTCCACTCAGTCCTAGAGGGTCACTAGGAGTCAGAGTCCACTCAGGGTCAGTGGGTTTGCTACTATGCTATAAAGGAGCCCTACTGTTGCAGTGGTTAAGCACTGGGCTGCTAAGCAAAGGTCAACAGTTCAAACCCACCAGCCACTCTACGAGAGAAAGACATGGCGATCTGCTTCCAGCCTTGGGAATCCTCGGGAACACTTCTATTCTGCCCTATAGTGGGGCTATCAATGGGAGTCGACTCAATGGCAAGGTTTGGTTTTCTTGGCAATATGCTGTAAGAAGCCTTGGTGGCACAATGGTTAAGCACTCAGCTGCCAAACTAAGGTCAAAGCCACCCAGCAGCTACCTGAAAGAAAAACTCGGTGACTTGCTCCCTAAATATTACCACCTCCAGGCAACCATATGGAGCAATGTGACTCTATCATGAGGGCTGCTGTGAGCTGAAAATAGACTTCTCAACACCTAACAACAACAATTTGCTGTATTTATTTTTGGTTTATTACCTTTCTTTCCCATCCAGATGAAAGGTCCATTCAGGTAGGTGGTTTTGTCTATTTTGTTTGCTAATGAATGGAAAGATGAATTATGAACCAAAATCATTTGTTTTACATGAAATGGACACCTATTTCAAAATTATCATTTTATAGGGAAAGAATTTAAGGCCCAGAGAGATTAACTGACAAAGTCAAATAGTCAGTAAGGGGCAGAATCTAGATAAAAACCAAACCTTCTTGGGAGCAAGCCTAGATTCTTTTTCCACCATAGCACACTGATGGGATGTAAAAGAATACATATGAAAATAAATGTCATAAATAAGCAAACAAACATATATATTCACACATGCAACAGACAAGCCAGCAATACTGCTGTACAAGGTAATTATACGCCTGCAAACAAACTTTTATTCCTTACCTTAACTGCAGATTTTTTTGATGATATATGTGTTGCAGTTTCTTTGAATTTATTTGCCTTTTCAAGCTGGACTTTAAGTTTTTCAGCTAATTCCTTCAAAAACAAAAACAGATTAAGTAAGTACGTATATATATAAACATATTTTTATATCTTCACTACAGAATTTTTCAAATTTACATAACAGAATAAAATACCATTATGAACACCCATGTAGCCTTTAATTATCAATTTGCAGTCTAATCAATTTATCGCAGTTATAAACTTCTCACGTAACAGTGGAATTTGCTTATATTTTTGAAGAGAAAATAATTATAGGGATATACATTTTTGGGGACACAGGGAGATAGAGGAGTCCTGGTATGACGCTATGGGATAAAGTACTGGGCCACAAGGCCGGTTTGAACCACAAGGTTTGAACCATAAGGCTGGTTTGAACCGCAAGGTCGGTGGTTCAAACTCACCAGCCACTCCCTGGAAACGCTACACAAGGTCGCCATGAGTCAGAATGGACTCGACAGCACTTAAGAACAACAGGAAGACAAATTACATAGCTTTAAGGATGGAAGGTTTATAAGTCCTAAGATATTATATACTTAAAACTTAACAATTATTTTAACAACTATCATAAGACTTAAAATACTGATTTCCTTATTGCTAACAAGCAATTCAAATAAGAATTTTGAAAATATTTTATTTTTACTTCAGAAGCTTATAGGAATTTATATAAAACAATTGACATATAAAGCAACAGATCACAAAGTAAAAAATTAAGTAAACAGATTTATGTGACAAGCACAGGAAAGCATTCCATACGATAGTGGTTCCATTTACATAGGAACAGTTACTGGAGCATAAGCTAACTTCCCACCAAGGTGACGTCTTTTTCACTACTTTAGCTAATTTTTCAAAACTAAAATTTTCTATTTTCACTGCTGTGACTGCTTTTACCAATCTCTGTGGTGACTTTAAGCTCAGTGTTACTAAAAGTCAGATTTACAGAGATAAGTATATACAAGATAAGCCTTTTATTAAACCTATAAGCTAAGAAAAACAGGGATATCTTATTTGGCCATCTTTTGCTGTATGAAAGAAAAATGTGTTTATGCTCCATTGAAACAGAAAATGACTTAAAATTCACTACTCATTGGGACTAAGGTGAGTACATACACATGTCCATAAATGAATCTAGTATTTTGTAAAGCACAAAACCTATCTGCCTTTGCTATTCTGCCATGTTCGCTCTAATATGTAAGACGGGGCTTCAAAAAGTTCATGGCAAAACGGAATTAAAAGAAAATGGAACTTTCCCATGAACTTTTTGAAGCTCTCTCATATTGCTGAGTTTCTACTTCATACAAGGCATGTGACTTATTTACTAAATGAAGAAGTAGGTAGATTAAGTAAGTAAATACAGCAGCTTTACCAAATCATGTATATTTTTATTCAGGTCTGAGGTAAAAAAGCATTAAATCAAAACCCCAGTAAAGGATTAAACATGCTATCCTATATAAAGCATCCAACACAATTTCAGGCACCAACTATTGCATGAAAACTTCTACCACTGAATCAACCATCCTATTGAGGAGTTCTTTTGTTAGGCCCCTAAGTAAAGGAATTGAAGAAAAGAATGTGTTCTTTAGGACATATGACTAAAAAGGGAAAGAAGAGAGTACAACATTTATCTCCCTTAAATAATGCTCAGTAAGTTAGAAGTGTAAGAATGAACTGAATAGCAAACTAAAACAAGAAACAAACAAACAAAAAACCAGGTAATTCCCAAGGATCTTCAATTCCAGAAATCAGACAAAAAGTAGGTAATTTATTTAGGTGTGGATCGATAGTACAATTTCAAGATATATCTAAGCATTTCTCTAAGGAATTAAACAGTACCAAGCACACAGCTGCAAACCACAAGGTTGACAGTTCGAGCCCACTCCGTGGGAGAAAGATAAGGCTTTCAGCTCCCTCAAAGATTTAAAAAGCACTGGAAACTCTATACAGGGTTGCTATGAGTCAGAACCAACTAGACAGCACTTAAAAACGACAACACTCTTCTCCAAAAGGGAGAGCGTGGTGGCTGTGTAGGATAAGTACTGGACTGCAAACCACAAGGTCGGTGGCTTGAGTCCACCAGTGCCTGGAGGGGAAAGATGAGGCTTTCTGCTCCCACAAAGATTTACAGCCTCAGAAAGAACCCCTCTACAAGTTCGCTATTTGGCGGCACTTCACAACAATAATTCTCCAAAAGTGTAACATTCAAGAGTCTTACCATATTTCCCATCATCTCTGCCTTGATAATCTTGGCTCCCAACTTGTTCTTCTCATCAACACTCAGGATGTGGATAGACTCATCCTCTGAACTACTTCTGTTTTAAACAGATGGATTAAGAGTATATGAAATACAGGTACACTGTAAGTAACAATATCAAGACAAATGTTACTTTAATTAACCTCAACAAGGCATTTAGCACCACGAAGAGATGATGATTCTAATACATAAGAATTATATTCCATATTCAACATCTATCAGTAGTTTAAGGAGCTCTGGAAGCGTAGTGGTTACAAATTGGGCTGTGAACCACAAGGTCAGCAGTTCGAAACTACCAGGTGTTCCACGGGAGAAAGTTGAGGCTTTCTGCTCTTGTAAAGATTTACAGCCTCGGAAACCCTGTACAGGGTCGCTATGAGTTGGAACCGACTCCACAGCACACAGCCACCACCATCATCAGTAGTTAAAGTTTCTTTGTTGCAATGTCATTATGACCTATGGTAAGTAACAAACGGCCTGATTGTGGTTCCAATAACATTAAATAAATCAATTAATAAATTCACTATATTTTTTTAATTTAATAAGGAACCTTGGTGGTACAGTGTGTTAAGCGCTGGGCTGCTAACTTAAAGATCAGTGGTTCAAACCACCAGCTGCTCCAAGGGAGAAAGGTGAGGCTTGTCTGCTCCTATAAAGATCTGCAGTCTTAGAAGGCCAATGGAGTAGTTCTACTCTGCCCTATAGAATTGCTATGAGTTGGAATCAAAATGAAACACCCTCAAACAAGCAACAATTGGGGAAAGGGTGCCAATGCAGTGGACTCAACAGGGCCCAGTATAGTAATTCATCAAATGCCGTCTCACCCAGCAACCAGGAGATGGGTAGACCATGGTGCCCACCCGTGAGGAAGAGGAGAGTCTTTGCCTTGACTAACTGAAGAGGAAAGGAGCTATGGGAGTGGTGGGGTCACATCTCCAATAGGGGGGTGGGTTTCCCCATCAGCCAGCCCCACTCACGGAGGGATGGTGACACTGTGAGTGACAGCACCAGGTGATACCAACTCAAGTGATGTTACTGTAACCAACCAATATCATTCAAATTTCAAAGTAATTATGCCAAGTGGAAGAAGACAGACTTAGGGAGGAAAAAAGTACATAAAAATTTATTACTGAATATTATTACAATTAGTTCATTGTTTTTAAAAATAATAGCAAAAAGTGTTAAACTTACATGAATTTAACTAATTTCCTGAATATTTACCATTTGTATTAGACCAAGATACACGTTGTTTAAGGAACTCTGGTAGTGCGGTGGGTTAGGAGTTGGGCTACTAACCACAAGTTCAGCAGTTCAACTCTATCAGCAACTCCACAGGAATAAGATGAGGCTTTCTGCTCCCGCAAATATTAACAGCCTTAGAAACCCTACATAGGGGTCACTATGAGCCAGAATCGACTCTACAGCACATAACCACACCGCCACCATTAGTTGTTTAAGTTTCTACAGTCTGACTGACTAACCTATAACACAAACATCTATTTTACAACAAACTATAAGTATTGTCTAGTTCTCTCTGAAAATGCTGTACTTCTGGCACTTTTTAAATTCTCTCCTATACCTCTAATCAGGGAGCCCTGGTGGTATAGTACTTAAGAGCACTCAGCAAACACTGAAAGGTCAGTGGTTAAAACCCACCAGCCACTCAACAGGAGATTGATGTGGCAGCCTGCTTCCAGACAGACTGTTGTTGTTGATAAGTGCTGTTGAATCAGCTCCGACTCACAGTGACTCTATAGAGAACTTCCAAAGAGCAGCTGGTAGGTTTGAACCGCTACCATGCAGTTATTAGTCAAGTGTTTATCCTACAGTGCCACATCAGGATCAGATATATCATAGACCTGGAAAATCTATGGGGCAGTTCTACTGTCCTATCAGCTTGTTAAGTCAGAATCAATCAATAGCAATGAGTTATGCCTCTAATCATTCAATTTTAATCACATTCCACCAAAATTACCTTAACAAAGCTTATCAAAAACTCCCATGATCAATGTATTAAGATTCCTATTTCATTTTATCCCTTTATGGTTGTCTTTGGAAATTAACATGAACATAGGAAGCTAAGCTCTGGACAAAACTAAAAAGAGATGGAAGATATCCCAAAGTGTCAAAAGTTTTGATAATACAAAGTATTTTAAACTTTGGCATATAAAAATATATCACAAGTTCATTGTTGTTGTCTTAAGTTCTGTCAAGTCAGTTCTGACCCATAGCAACCCTGTATAGAGTTTCCTAGGAGCAGCTGGTGAGCTTGAAGAGCAGACCTTGAGCTCAAACAGACTTGGCAGTCCAGCGCATTAACCCACAGTGCCACACCAAGGCTCCATGACAAGTTTGTTGGTGTAATTGTTGTTAGGTGCCATCGAGTAGGTACCAACTCATAGCAACCTTCTGCACAGAAGAAAGAAACACTGCCCGATCATGAGCCAACCTCACTACTGTTGCCACGCTTGAGCCATTGATGCTGCCACTTTGCCAATCCATTTCACTAAGGGTCTTCCTCTTTTTCTCTGACCCTCCACCTTACCAAACATGATATCCTTCTCCAGTGACTGGTCCTTCCTGACAATATGTCCAAAGTATGAGAGACAAAGCTTGGCCATCCTGGCCTCCAAGGAGCACTCTGGCTGCACGCCTTCCAAAATGGATCTATTAGTTCTTTTCGAAGCCTATGGCACTTTCAATGTTCTCCTCCAACACCATAGCTCAAAAGTATCAATTCTTCTATGGTCTTCCTTATTTACTGTCCAGAATTTGCATGCATATAAGGTTACTGAAAATACCATGGCTTGGACCAGGCACACCTTAATCCTCAAGTTGGCATCTTTGCTCTTCAACACTTTAAAAAGGTCTTCTTCAGCAGATTTACCTAATGCAACATGTCATTTGATTTCTTGACTGCTGCTTCCGTGAGTGTTATAGTTGAATGAAGTCCTTGACAACTACAATCTTTTCTCCGTTGATAAGAATGTTGTTTATTGGTCCAGGGGTGAGGATTTTTGTTTTCTTTACTTTGAGAGCAATCCATAGCAAAGGCTGTGCTCTTTGATCTTCATCAGTAGATGTTTTAAGTCCTCTTCACTTTCAGCAAGCAAGGTTGTATCATCTGCATAACGCAGGTTGTTAATGAGTCTTCCTTCAATCCTGATTCCACGTTCTTCTTCATATAACCCAGCTTCTCAGATTATTTGCTCAACATACAGGTTGAACAAGTATAGTGAAAGAATATAACCCTGTCACATACCTTTCTTAATTTTAAACCATTCAGTGTTTCCATGTTCTGTTCGAGCAAATGCCTCTTGGTCCAGGTACAGAGTCTTCATGAGCACAATTAAATTTTCAGGAATACTCATACTACGCAATGTTGTCCATAGCTTGTCATGATCCACACAATTGAAAGCCTTTGCGTAGTCAATAAAGCACAGGTAAACATCTTTATGGTATTCTCTGCTTTCAGCCAAGATCCAGTTGATATCAGTAATGATATCCCTCATTACACGGCCTCTTCTGAATCCAGCTTGAACCTCTGGAAGCTCTCTGTCAATGTATGCTTGCAATTATTTCTGTACTACCTTTGGTAAAACTTTACTCACATTGGATATCAATGATATTGTCCGATGATTTCCACATTCCGTTGGGTCACCTCTCTTTGGAATGGGTACAGATACGGATCTCTTCAAATCAGTTGGCCAGACAGTTGTCTTCCAAATTTCTTGGCAGTGATGACTGAGTGCCTCTTGTGCCGCCTCACTTTCTTGAAAGATTTCAATTCCTGGTGCCTTATTCTTTGCCAATTCCTTCAATGCACCTTGAACTTCTGCCTTCAGTATCATTGCTCTTGATCATATGGTACCTCTTGAAATGGCTAAACATCAACCATTTCCTTTTGGTACAGTGACTCTGTGTAGTCCTTCCATCTTCTCTTGATGCTTTTTGCATCATTCAATAATTTGCCCAGAGAATCTTTCAATAACAAAAGTCAAGGCTTGAGTTTTTCTTCAGTTCCTCCAGCTTGAGAAATGCTGAGTGTATTCTTCCTTTTTGGTTTTCTGACCCCCGATCTTTGCAAATTTTGTTGTAATATCTGGCTTTATCTTCTCGAGTTAATCTTTGAAATTTTATGTTCAGCTCTTGTACCTCCTCATTTCTTCCAACTGATTTAGCATCTTTACGCTAGAGAGCATGTTTCAATGTCTCTTCTGACATCCATTTTGACCTTTTCCTTCTTTCTTGTCTTCTTAATGTCTTTTTAATCACAAGTTTAAGTTATAAAAATTAAAAAGCAAAAAAGTAAAATAAATCATTTACAACTGTTAATACACAAAAAAGTTCAGTCAAATCAAGCAATACTAGGATTTCAATAGGTCAAAATCAAAAAGAAATTATTCATTAAAAATGAAATACAAATTATTCTGAAACTTTGGAAAATTAAAAATTGAGCTACAAAAAATTTCCTCTTCACCTGTCATAAAATAAATGTAAATTTAACAATGAAATACCTATTTTACTAATACATTAGCCAAAGTTGTTTATAATAAAACATATAATGAAGTAGATCCTCTCATACCTGTTGGTGAAATTGCAGATTACTATAATCTCTATGCAAAGTAATTTTTATATCTGCATTTGGAGCCATGAAAATATTCACATCCTTTGATTCAATATACCACTTGTTAAAATTTAACCAAAGGAGATCAGAAATTCATACTAAAATCTTTGCCTAAAGATGATGAGTATAGTTTTACTACAAAAGAGGGCAAAAAAGAAAGTTGGAGCTAACCTAAAAGTTTATTTAACAAACAAACCTACCTACTGCTGTCAAGTCAATTCTGACTCTTTCCAGGTGCAGGAAATCTTATCTTCCTCCCAAAGAGCAGCAAGTGGGTTTGAACTGCCGACCTTGTGATTAGCAGACCAGGGCTTATTTTACCAACACTACCAGGACCCCTTAAATGTACACTGTTGTTAAGTGCTGTTGAGTCAATTCTGACTCATAGTGACCCGTAAAGAGTTTCTGAGGAGCAGCTAGTGAGTCTGACCTTTTGATTCACAGTCCAGTGCTTATCCTACAGGAGTCCTAGATGTAGACTAATAGAAGAATAATTAAGCAAATCATACTATGTTGTAATTGTTGTTGTTGTGTGCCTTCAAGTGAGTTCCGACTGACAGTGACCCTGATTAGGGCTGAGCAGGAACAGAAAGCCTCATCTTTCTCCCACAGAATAGCTGGTGGATTCGAACTGCTGACCTTGCAGTTAGTAGCCTAACGTGTAACCTACTACACCACCAGGGTTCCAATCATATTATGTTTCAGTAAGATAAAAAACAACTATTATGGCTGTTTAGGAATAACAGGAATTTTAATGATTACCAAAAAAAAAAAAAGAGAGAGAGAAATAAGTAAAAGCAGCGGTAAAGCAAATTCTATATAGTATACTCTAACTGTGACAGTGAATAAGGAAGACCGTAGAAGAATTGATGCCTTTGAGTTATGGTGTTGGAGGAGAATATTGAAAGTGCCACGGGCTGCCAAAAGAACCAACAGATTTGTGTTGGAAGATGTGCAGCCAGAGTGTTCCTTGAAAGACAGGATGGCCAAACTTCGTCTCTCATACTTCGGACATATTGTCAGGAGGGAGCAGTCGACCCTATATAGGGTTTCCAAGGAGCAGCTGGTGAGCTTGAACCACCACGCCTGCAGCTCAAATGACTTTGAAGTCTGACACATTAGCCTCCTATGTTGTTGTTGCTATGTGCCATGGAGTCAGTTCCAACTCATAGCGACCCTGTACAGGGTTTCTGAGGCTGTAAATCTTTACAGGAGCAGAAAGACTCATCTTTCTCCCTCAGAACCGCTAATAGTTTCGAACTGCTGACCCTGAGGTTCGCAGCGCAATTCGTAACCACTATGCTACCAGAGCTCCTTAGACATGCAGTATTCACAATTAGGATTTTATAAGCAATTTACTTAGGAAGGAATATGGCATCAGTAACAAAACGTACCAAAATATTTCCTACAGCACCTTCATTTAAAAGAATGCATTCAGCTTTTTAGACTGCAAGAAAGCAGCAAATTTTGTGTGCAGATCTAGCTACTCAATTCTTTCTCCAGTTCTTTTCACCAGAAAAAATAATGAAATCAATAAAACATGATACCTCATATCTTACATCAATTTTAAAGAAACAGAAGAGTATAACTCCTATCTAATTAACTGCTATTGTTCTAAAATTATAGTTCTGTTGAGTCCTCTGTACTTTAAAATTCATCTACCAGTTTTAAAAATAAATAACAAAATACCCAGATACAGAAGACTTTGTGTCTTGCAGATGTACTTCTTTGGAAGTGTTCTCTCTCAAGCTCTCATCCTGTGGCTTTTCCCTCAAATCTCCTGGGAAGTGTCCGTAGTCAGCACTGCTACTGGTTTCCCATGACTTTTGATTTGAGCGTTTCTTGTCTCCTTCTCTCCTGTCAGATCGTCTCCATGATGATACACTTTTTTCACTGTTCTCTCTGGGTTTTTGAAAACCATGATGCAAAGAGACCTGAGCAGCCAATGCTGAAGATGAACAAGGAAGTTCAAAATTTCTGCCCTTGCTATGAGATGATAGTTCTTCATCATCAGAAGGTCTTAAAAATTTAGGTCTCAAATTACCAAGAGAAGAAAACTGTTGACTTTGCCTTGGATTGGATTTGCTTCTCCACGTTTCTGAAGACCTAGATTTATTATCTTTTTCAGCATCACTAAAGTTGTCTTTATTACTATTGTTTGTACTATCTGTTATGCCATATTTAGCGCTGGAACCTCTATTATAATTTACTAAGTCTGATCTTCTGCTTTCTTGACTACTTTGTGATTTATCTGAATATGTTGGCTTTCTCCACCGTTCTTGCCTACAATCTTCTTTTTTGGATGCAGTTTTTTCAGCTTCTTCTAATTTCGACTGAAATACTTCCATTGACTACAAAGGAGAAAAATCAAACAAAATATCTAAAATTAAAAACAGTCAATGAACATTTCCACCCTTATGCCACTGTGTCATGACCAACTGCCATATGTCAAAATTAAAAGGGAAAAAGGACCCATTACAATCATTTGACCTCAAAAGTGATACTTTAAAAACTATGAGTGAACAATGAAAACTTAACTAAATAAATGTCTGATATTTAAAACAATTATGCAGAAAACAGCAGAGATTTTTTAATAATTAACTCGTATTGTCAGTGAGATCGAAGAAGTTACCATAATGCTAAAACAAAAGTGACTCACGTGAAAAGAGCAGTTAAAGAATAAGAAAGACTTGTAAATGAATACTGCATGCCTTCAAAACTGCCCAGATTCACTGAACAGAAGAATGAAAAGTGATAAAACCTAAATTAGTGAGTCCACCATTAGCTTGCAAATTCTTTGCAGCTTTAGAAAGAGAAAGAAAGCAGAAGTTATAAGAAGCGGAAGGGCCAAGACCAGAGCTGTAGGGTCAATGCAGTACGGTTTCCCCACAAAATTTTTATAGGACAGCCCTTGCTACTCTCAAAGAATAAGCAGGCACATTGCCATGATGGAAAAAATAATCCTCAGCACAACTTTCCTGACCTGTATTTCATCAATGCAGCTTTCAATTTTCTTAACATTTCTTCATAACAAGCCCCCATTATCATCCTGTGGCCTTCGAGAAAAATATATCAAGATTCCTCTTTTTGGAGTCTCCCAAAATGGTCCCCATAACCTAATGAGCTGATTTCGCTGCCTTGAATTTAACTGGCCTGGCAGATCCTTTCAGAAGTCACTGCTTTGATTGGACCTTTTTATGAAGGCACCCTAACAAGACTAAGACAAGTGTCAGACAAGTGTATTACTGAGAGAACTTGTCTGCAGTCACCTAACAACCAGAGACAGGTTTAAACACATTCCGTCTGGAATAAACCCAATGCATGTAGGAACAGAAACCCTAGCAGCAGTCCTTTTTTACTTACACTCATCAAAAGACATCAAAACCCACAGAAATGGAAAAATGCAGACAGAAATAGAAAGATTACCTGTACATGGTGAATAGAGAAGCTAATTATAAAATAGCATGCAGAGAATGGTTCCATTGTTTTAAGAGTGTTCACACAGAAATGCCCTCAAAAAAAGAAAAATTAGAAAATATGCCAAAGTCAACAGTGGTTATCTCCAAGGTATACTATGGAGCTTTTCCTGTATTACTTAAATTTTTCAGAATGAGAAAACTTGTAACATTCTTAAATTTTTTAATGTATTTTTAAGTTTTACATATTTATGTCTTAGTACATTAAAAAAGTTACATAAATTTATATAATAATGAAAAGCAGAATATTACTTCAGTGGTATCTGAAATTTAGTATTATTTCAATTCAAAAGTGTTTCCTGGCACAAACACTGACAAAGGCGGTTATTTTCCATCTAATTCTAAAAATAATACATATTTCCTTAATACAGATACTCACACCATATCGTTCAGCTACAATGTCTTCAAAATTTCTATTTTGTTTCTTGGCTTGTTCCTTCATTCTCTGGTAAGACTTCCTTAGCCAGCTTAATCCACCATCTTCTACTACTGAAACTAAATTCCAATATTAAATGTCAGTTATACTTTTCATGCTGCTATCATAGAATTAGTATTTATTACTTTGATGATTACTTATGTAACTAGAAATTTAAATATTTTCTTTGAAAAAAATTTACAAGTGCACTGAAAATTCAACTCAGCATATTTGTGGAACTGTGGGTTAATACACTGTACTACAAGGTTGGTTTGAACTACAAGGTCAGCAGTTCAAGCTCACCAGCCACTCTTTGGAAACCCTACACAGGGTCGCTATGAGTCAGAACTGACTCGATGGCACTTAACAACAACAAAAACAACATATCAGGTACAGGCATCCTGGTGTGGCCCTGTAGAATAAGCACTAAACTGCTAACCACAACGTCAACAGTTCAAACTCCCCAGTAGCTCTTTGGAAACTCTACACAAGGTCACTATGAGTCAGAAATGACTTGACAGCACTTAAGAACACTATATCAGGTACAGAGTTTTATCACTATGAGGAAGGAAAATATTATAAAAAGATTTAAAGGCTTACAGAAAATTAGAAAAGCAAAGGATTATTTCCAACTAGAGGTTAGGGGTAAATTCCACAAACTAGGCTCACAAAAGAGAGTTGAATTTCTATAAGCAAGGATGTAGGGAGGGGAGGAGCTACCTTAGATGTAACACAAAGCCTAAATGAGGAAGAGAGAGAAAATAAAGCTGGAATGCATGTTAAAACAAATTATCCTACTTTAATCTTGATTATCAACTATGAACATTAGAATGCCTGTTACTGCAACAAATTTTGTCAAACTGCTTACATTCCTTTTATACACATCACAGTTTTGATACTATACGTGGGAGCTTCAAAGAGTTTGTGAAAATTTTTAATTATCTTTTCATTATATTTTTCCACAAACTTTTGAATCTCCCTCATATAAAGAGAGAATCTAAACAATTACTTAAATCAGAACTCTAGTTTTTCCTTACTCACATATGAGTATGTTATTCTTAGGTGTTGTCGAGTTGGTTCTGGCCCACAGTAACCCAGTATAGGGTTTCCAAGAAGCGACTGATGAGTTTGAACCACCGACCTTGTGGATCAAACCAACCCTGTGGTCCAGCGCTTATCCTACAGTGCCATACCAGGAAGCCAAATATGACTATATATAAATTGTAGTTCATTCATCTGCATTGCTGTATAGTAGTCTATTTTAGAAATCATATTTAAATGTTTTCATATTTGGAGTCCTGGTGTGGTGCTGTGGGATAAAGCACTGGACAGCAAAGTCAGTTTGAAGCACAATGTTGGTGGTTCAAACTCAACAGCCGTTCCATAGAAAGCCTATACAGGGTCACTATGGGTCAGAACCAACTCGATGGCACTTAACAACAACAATTTTAAGAATCTATCATATCTATATATTCAATCTACTGATGACTGACATTTGAGTGTTTCCAGCCTGTGGTTATTGTAAATTGTTTTGCTATGGGCATATATTTTTTTTTTAATGTCTTTTAGTGTGCGTGTATTTCTATTGGTTTTAGAGATGGGTCCTATATTCATATATATTGTTTTAATCTATCCAGTTCTCAAAAGGAGCTCTGGCAGCATAGTGGTGACAAGTCATACTGCTAACCTCAAGGTCAGCAGTTTGAAACGACCAGCTATTCCATGAGAAAAAGATAAGGCTTTCTGCTCCCGTACAGATTTACAGCTTCAGAAACCCTATGCAGGGTTGACTATGAGTTGAAACCGACTCCATGGCACATAGCCACCACCACCCAACTCTAAAACCAATAGAAACGTATGCACAATAGCTCTTAAAAAAGAGAGTTTTTAAATGTTCATAGCAGAACAATCTGCAATAACCCCAGGCTGAAAACAACCCAAATGTCAACCATCAGTTGACTCAACATAAAGATTTGATATATTCTAAAAATAGATTCCAAAAATAGACTACTATATAGCAATGAAGAAGAATAAACTACAATTCACATACAACAACATGAAAAAAACACAAAATGTGGACAAAAGAAGGCAAAAACAAAAAGAGGACATTTTACTATATGATTCTAGGCAAAATTGATTTTGGGTGTTAGAAACCAAAATGGTTATGCTTTTGATAAAAGGGTAATGATAAGAAGGAGTCAAAGAAAGATTCTGGGATGCTGAGTTTTTAAACTGATGACCACAAAAATGTTTTCACTGTATCAAAACAGTTTGTACACTTAAGACTTGTACTTTTCCATGTGTCAGACTTCAGTTTTTAAAAAGTGGGATTGAAGAGAGCAAAGACTTCTCAGCCTTCAAATTCATTCTATTCAAACTTGTTTTCTCTTAATCAAATCTCAGAAGTTGACCTCTACTAAGTGATTACAAGATAACGTGACCTTTCTTTACACATCAGAAATACTTAGTACTTTGGCATCTGGATCTCTGATTTACACAGTGACTCATATTCACTCAAAAGCATATTTTGTTCTTGCTCTTGTTTGACCAAATGTTATTTGCACCGTGATAAAGAAAAGAAACCATCACAATATATTTGTGTCCCTGGCTGTAATACCTGGTCATACATTATTATTGTCAAGTGCTGACTCACAGCAACCCTGTATAGGGTCTCGGAGGAGTGGCTGGTAGATTTGAACCACTGACCTTGCGGTTCAGTGATATCCTACAGTGTCACACCAGGACTCTGGTCATATATTAAGGGGGTTGGAAGAAGGCCTGCACAGCCAGCTGGAGAGCGAGAGAGAGCGCTGTCCTATGTTAAATAAGGGAGAGCTGCGCTCTACACTTTGCGGGGAGCCTTCTAGCCCTTGCCTGTGTACTTCCTGACATTGATCCTGTTCCTGTTCTTTCTAATTTAAACCTGATCCCTGCTAAACTATCTAACTGAGTATGGTCTGTAAATTCTGTGTGGCCACTGCAACAAATTATTATTTCAGCCAGCAGAGAAGTAGAAAGCCCCATGGAAAGGACATCTCCTCCTCATAGGAATCAGACTGGTGCTGATGCGGATTCTCATTCTTCCTGAACTGAGACAAGATCTGACACCACTACTACTACATTACAGATGACAACAGACACATTAATGCCAATGCTAAGTGACAATAAAATGATAATTACTTCAATAAAATTGCTAATTATTATAAAGAAACATGTGAAATGGCTCTAGGAATGTGACTATATAAAATACAAGGGGGCTTTGATAAGTTCGTTGAAAAATTCCATTATCTTTCTACTCCATTTTTCCATGCACTTTTTGTAACCCTCTTGTATTTTAACAAGTGGTCAAAATAAAAATAAACTTTGTCTGAAAAACATGAAAATACCATACCAATAAATCACTTAGATGAAATGTTACCATGACCATATTAACAAAATGCCATCCGCATAACAAGGAGAACCAGTGGCACGGTGCTCAAGTGCTCAGCTGCTAATCAAAGTTAGCAATTTGGGGAAGTTCTAGTCTGACCTAGAGTTGCTAGGAGTTGGAATTGCCTCAACAGCAATGGATGAGTACCCGCATACTTGTTGTTAATGCCATCAAGTCTGCACAGCAGCTGGATTTTAATTAATAAACTTTTCATTCAGTTGTAAATATATTACTTAATTGGCATAAAAGAATTTTCTTTATGCTATAAAGTGTGCTTATGATGACAAATATTTTGTCTCCATCTGCTGGAAATTATCAGTATTATTCTAAGGTCAATAAAGATTTTTTTTTTTTTTTTTCAATATTACTTCATTTTGTTTTCAGTGAAGGCTTACACAGTAGTTTGGGTTCCCATTCAACAATTTCTACATAAATTGTTCAGTGACATAAGTCACATTTTTCAGATATATGAGTATTTTCAATATTTCTGAGTGGTTGTTCCTCTCTGTTAATGTAGTTTCCTTGCCACCATTATATTATCTTTGTTTTATAATTTCTACCTGTTGGTTTCATATAGGTGACCTTTTACAGAAGTGCAGTACTCATGGGTGACATTTTTTACTTTGTGAACCAATCTGACATTTAGCTAAAAGGTGACCTCAGAGGCCAGTTCTGATTCAAGTTTACAGATGATCTCAGGGTAATCGTTTCAGGGACTCCTCCAGTTTCAGTCAGTCCAGGAGTCTGTTGTGTGTTTCTGTCTATTTTCTGAATTTGAGATTCTGCTCCACATTTTTGCCACATTCTGTCTGGGTCCATCTATTATGGCCCTGATCAGAATGCTCAGTAGTAGCAGCTGGGCACCATTCTTCTGAGGTCAATACAGATTTTAACGTTGGCAAAATAAAAATTTCCTTAGTTGTAAAAACACATCTTCAATGTTTATACAGTATTTCCATGAAATTTCAGAAACATATACTTTTTACATTTGTTATAGAATGTAACAAACCAAGCATTTTTAAATCCTCAAGGGATATTTTTTATTGTTATTGTTGCTGTTAAGTGCCATTGAGTCAATTCCGACCCATAGCAAAACCTTGTATAGGGTTTCCAAAGAGCAGCTGGTAAGCTTGAACCACTGACCATGAAGTTCAAACAACTTTGCAGTCTGACACATTAGCCCACAGCACCACACCAGGACTCCATATTTTCTATTAAGCTATCTAAAATGGAAACGCAATTAAATAATGCTATCCAGTATAAAAATGTTTTTTAATCAATTTGCTTCCAAATGTACCATAATTAAAAGAATGCTCCCAAGTACTAATAATTTAAGACCTCAAAAAAAGCAAATATTTTATCAATGCTTTGTCATATGTAAACTAAGCTTTCAGTTATAATCTATAGATGCTAATAATATGAAATCATACAAATTTCACACCAGATAATAACTAAATTTATCATAACTTTGCAAATATACAGACACATATAATTCAGGACTTAACCAAAATTATAGCATCATATGGAAATATTTAAACAATGATTAATAAAACAAATTTAGTACATTTCATAATCTGATTCAGATTATTAAACATTTTGGAGATTTAATACACCCTGACAATTTACCAACAAATTCATACTGTCAGGAATAATAAGTGTTAAGAAATGTCTGTGTGCCAACCACCAAAATCTAGGCATACCTTTAGCAACTGATGACACATTACAGTCTTCTGGTGGTAGACCTGTCCCACCATCTTTCCAGTATGGATTCAATTCTCTTTGCAACAATTTGGACTATAACAAAACATTTACAAAGGTCAGAAAATAAAAATAAACCCACAACAAAAAAATTGTAAACGACAATTTTTTAAAAAAGCAAGAACAATTTAGTTTTGATTGTTTTGATCTTCAGCAAATCATTAAAGCACTCTTAAGACTCACACTCTTCTAGAACTTGAAGGAAATAATGCCTAAATTTATTCACTCAATGCTTTTATTGAATGAATGCCTGCCATGTCTCAACACAGTGCTAGATGTATGTAGGTGATACAACAGCCAGTGTGCCTGACTTACCCTTCCTCTAACATATGATCTAAGTGAGGCACATAGATAATAAACAAGCAAATAATAAGAGCTTGGAAGATATGAACTACGTACAGATTTCAAAGCCCACTCACACCCAAGGACTTTAGACAAGTGGTCTGAGACCATAGCTAATAGTACAGTCCAGGCCTAAGGGAAGCAAAAGGACACACACAGCACTGGCTTCCCATTTCTTTTAACTGACCATGACTTACCATGAAAAAAAAGAGAGAAAACGTGACTAAAACAAAGTTCTAGGATACAAATGTATCTTTATTACATGTAATATATGCTGTATTTCATATTTTAAACTACTGGTTGAAATGAACTAATTTCATGACTCACATTTTAGAACCTACTATTCTAGAAGACCCAAGTAATAATACCCGTAATATGCTTCATATCATAAAGCTTCAGCTAAAGATCATCATTTCAGATTTCTTCCAATTTCATTTTATCCTCACTGCTATTATAAGCCTTAGCATTTTTGGTTTAAAGGGAGGACTAATTTTTTTCTCAAAAAGAAACCAAATGTTATTTCTTAAGAATACATCAAAGTGCAGAGAACAACAAACCTATACTGACATGCAGATGTTTGAAATTAGCTAACCTCACTTACTAATCCAAATGATTCATTCCTGTACCCAACAATCTAAATTCTTACCTAAATAAATTCACAAATTATTACAGGTAATCAAACTTCAAAACTAAATCCAAGAACTTATAGTTGTATGCTAAATTGAAATTAACAGGAAAACAAACAGTAATTCCACAATTTCAAAAAAACAAAGTGCAAACATATACCAGCCATTAAGGAAGATAATAATGCAAGGCTCCAAACCAGTTCAGTCATGGCTGACAAAGCATAATCAGAATGGATCTGAATTTGTAAAATGTGGGTATACTGGAACAAGATAAATTATGGGTCAAAACCCTGGAATGGAAGATTCAGAGAAGCTTAGTGAGCCCTTTCAGTAGTCTGATGTAGGAGACAGGATTATTTCAAGGACTGTGGAAACCAACAAACATTCAAAGCAGTGCAGATGGATGCCATCTTTGAGCCAGGTACCATTGCTTACAACTGTGCTGGTTAATAGATTTGGTTGCTATACAACGGGCATGCTGCTCTACTTTTCTAAGGAGAATAAGTTTATAGTAATCATTGCAATGAAACGATGGTGTAAAGCCAATGTTCTCCCATGTAAACTATCACTCAGTTCACAATTAAAACAAAACACATACAATCTCAAAAAATATAAAATATTACAAAGGAGATGAAGATAAGACTAATATAGCACTCTGCAGAAAAACTACAAGTACTATGGTAAAGGAACAATAAAGTTTTATGAAAACAAAGGGCAAGACTTATTTCAGTCAAGGGAAATAAGAGGAGTTTCTGAGCATATATAAAATAGATCTTGAAAGATAAACAGGATGTAGACATACAGAGATGAAGGGAATTCAGTTAGAAAAAAAACCAGATGGAGAAAAAAGAAATTCACACGCAGGAGTCTGCAGAAAAATATGAGGCAAAGTGACTGCACTAGTTTGGTGAAACAATAGATCTCAGAGAAAACAATTTGCCTTAAATATCAGTATAAACAAATTCATAAATTATTACAGCTAATCAAACTTCAAAACTAAATCCAAGAATTTACAGTTGTATGCTAAATTGAAATTAACAGGGAAACGAATAGTAATTCCACAATTTCAAAAATACAAAGTGCAAACATACCAGCCATTAAGGAGGTTTGGACTCTGTTTAGTAGGAAACTACAGGGACATATAAAGAAGAAGAGTAAATATAGCATCCTTTTTTTCAGTCCAGGTCCTGAATAAGTTGAGAAATAAAAAATAAAAACATAGGAGACAAATAGCTAAACTGGAACAGATTTCAGAAAGCCAAGTGAGCCTGTAACTGAACCCCACAATGAGCAGACATTCCCACTTGAAGAAAGCACTGTGGCAACTGCCACTGTTACCCCATTAACCACCAGGTCTCTGCAAACAGCCTGTTCCAAAGAGCAAGAGACACTGGCTAAGGTAAATAAGCCCACTAAGGTTTTTCTTTGCAACTGTCTCAATAGGAAATTTACTCTAAATCCTCAGTGAGAGAATGAGAAAAGAGGGTGTCATGAAATACCATTAGTGGTTCTTCCTCCACCAGGAAAGTGTATATTTGATTCACTGAAGGCTTCTAACCAGAAATACCATAGTCAAAGATGTACTTTGAGAAAATTAATGCAACATCAGTTATGGGATGCTGAAAAACAAACTAAAATTGTAATTGTCCAAGAATAAATAAGGGCCTGAACCACGTGTCTAAGTTTAATTTCTTATTTCTAGGTGCTGTCCTCAGTTCATTAAACATGAGCATAACACACCAGTTTAAGATGAGCCAAATAAGGCATAGAGAGGTAAAGTAACTTTCCCAAGGAAACACAATTAATAGGTGGCATCCTGGTGTGGCAATGTGGATTACTGTGCTGGACTGCAAAGTCATTTGAAAGCAAGGTCAGCAGTTTAAGCTCACTAGCTGCTCCCCAGAAACCCTATACAGGGTCACTATGGGTCAGAACCAACTCAATAGAACTTAACAACAAGAACATTCAAACTAAAGCAGCAGCAATAGAAATAAGAGAGATAACACAGGTACAAAGATTAATTACAAAAATGATAGTGGTTAGAAAGTCTGGAACTCAAAACTAGAAAGTTGACAAAATAAAGAAGACAAAATTATTACAGTTTCCTATGAAAAGTGAAAGTAGGACTACTTAACAGTATTTTCAAGAAAACTAACCACTATCTCAACCTATTAAAGATAAGTAGCAGCTTACTATGGTCTATTTGTTGTGAAGAACAGGTTAGAACACGAGCAACATTTATAACTACAAACAATGGTTACCCTAGCACACCAGATCATCAAGTCAACAAACAGCAGAGCAGGACTCAGAAAGAAGCATGTGATATTAATGGGTAAAAATCAATTCCCAGACTTCACACCGTTCTGCTTTTTGACCCCGCAGGAGCAAAGTGGCTCTGTAGGATAAACACTGGGCTGCTAACAACATGGTTGGTGATTTGAGCCTACCAGCTACTCCTCAGGAGAAAGATGAGGCTTTCTGTTTCCCTACATTTACAGTCCCGGAAATGCTATACAGGGTCTCTATGAGTCAGAATGAATTCGACAGTGTTTAACAACAACAACTGCTATTTTATAAAGCTAACTAAATACTCTAATAGATACCGGTTTTATAGGTCTGATTCTGCTGTTTATTGTTTCATATGGCTCTTATTCATGGATTATCCAGCTATGGATCATGGACAGGCATGCCTGATTTTACTGTGCTTCACGGACACTGCATTTGTTTTTATAAACTGAAGGCCTGTTGAACCCTGCACTGAGCAAATCTACTGGCTCCATTTTTCCAACAACATATTGTACTCACTTTGTCTGTGTTTATTTTGGTTATTCTCACAATATTTCAAACTTTCTCATAATGCTACTATACATTTAGCAGACCACAGTACAATGCAAACACAACTTTTATATACACAGGGAAATGTGAAGAAAAAAAAAATCCATATAACTCATTTTATTGCAATATTCTTTCATTGCAATGGTCTGGAATCCAAACTTCAATATCACTGTATTTTATGCTATTTAGATTATGACCTCACAATCCCAATTACTTTATTTATGGGAAACTTTTGAGTCCTAGGCTGACAGTTGTTGTTAAGTGCCATCGAGGTGATTCTGACCCATAGCGATCCTCTATAGTTTCCAAGGAGAAGCTGGTGAGCTTAAACCACTGACCTTGTAGTTCAAACAACTTTGCAGTCTGACACATTAGCCCACAATGCCACATCAGGACTCCAAGCTGACAGGTGATGTTGTTAAGTGCCTTGGAGTCGGTTCTGACCCATAGCGACCTTGTATAGAGTGTCCGAGGAGCCACTGGTGAGCTTAAAATGCTGAGATTTCAGTGCAAATGACTTTGCAGTCTGGCACATAAACCCACAGAGCCACACCAGGCTGACAGTAGGATGCTCTAAAAAAGACTGATGGCTACTTCTACTGAGCGCTTCAAGGCACTACCAAATCAGGACTGTTGTTGCTGTTATTGTATGCCATAGAGTCAATTCTGACTTACAGAGATCCTCTTGATAGTACAGGACCATTCCACTGGGATTCCTACTTTGAGCCACATGGTCGGCTGTGCAAGCTCCCCAGCCGCTCCTCAGAAACCCTATATAGGGTCTCACTGAGTCAGAACCGACTCCACAGCACTTGACAACAACGACAAATCTTTCCAGGAGGCGCTCACCAGAGCTTTTCTCTTACAGAGTGGCTGGTGTGTTCAGACTCTCGACTTTCTATTTAGCAATTGAGAGCTTCATCACTGCACCAGCAGGGCTCTAACTTGGGAATACTTTAAAATAAATTCTCAACTTGAAGATTTTCAAACCACAAAAGTATAGCATGAATTCAAGTAACAGACCTCTATGAGTGCAAGCTATAAACCACAACAGGGCCAGCTTGCAGTTATATATTGCCAAGGAAATATTCCCCATGCACCATGTGAAATACCTTATAAAACAGGCACATTTTCTTGCCTTTCAATCAGATTTTTTCCAACTTCATCTTGTCATTGAGAATATACCCCTCCAGGGTCCCAGATTAATATAATCAAACTTACCCACGTCATACAAGCTTTTTAATTTACCTCCTATCCACCCCCAAGCATTCATTAAAATTGAAGTTCTAGATTACCAAGATTGAATGATGCACCAGAAAAGTCACCGGCTTCAGTGTGTCTTTATAAATGTCTCAAGATTCATGTCTTTGCCTCCCTATTTCTGGGTCTTTAAAAACGCACCAGAAAAGCCACCAGCTTCAGTGTTTCTTTATAACCTTCTCAAGATTCAAACTTTTGCCTCCTCATTTCTGGGTCTCTGAAAATGCACCAGAAAAGCCACCAGATTCAGTGTCTTTTCATTTCTGAGTCTCTAAAAATGTGGGTTTACTTTAAGGACCCCTGGCTGTATAACAGTTAAGTACTCAGCTGACAACTAAAAGAGTGAATCCTAATACAAACTATGGATGTTAGTTATTATACATTAAACAGATACATTATTAAATCTTGCCATAATAGTGGCAATAATAAAACATAAGACAAGTGGGTTTGCTTTAAGGAGCCCTGGCCATAAGAGTTAAGTACTCGGCTGACAACAAAAAGCCTGGTGGTTTAAGAACACTCAGCAGCTCCACAAGAGAAATAATCTGGCAATCTAATCCCATGACAATTACAGCCTAGAAAACCCTAAGGGACAGTCAGTGCTGGGCTATCACTTGCGGGGGAGGGGGGAGCTACAGGTCAAAATCAACTCACCACCACCTAACAACAAGGTTTCTTTTATATTTTATCTAGAATGCTCCTTAAAACAGAATCATTTTTCAGGATATCTAATTCATCATGTTAACATAAATAAAAATTGAGAGGGTTCACTTTTAATTCAATAGTTTTTACTTAAACTCAATATTTACTCAATTAATCTAGATTTAAATACACCAGATTTATAAATCTCAGTATACCTTTAAACTGACTTCTTACAGGAAACTTATTTTAAAAGAACTCAAATCACATTTAATGGTTGTTCTCATTAATTTTATTAAATAACATAAAAGATAAAGGAAAAAGTTTATGTTTAATTTTTCAAGTTTCTTAAAGGAAAAATGAAGCATTTCAAACATTCTCTTACCTGCTCCACAGCTTGGGCTTTCTCCTGCTCAATTTTCCTTAGAGTTTCTTTTTCTGCTTTGACTGATGATAATGACACAGTTTTAACAGACATAAAGTCAACAGTCATCCATTCATCCCTCTGTGAATAAAAGGAAGTCATTTCAATCTGAACTGATCAGAATGTAACAAGAAACAGTACTATAAACCTGGACATCCACTTGGCTGTGGAACTTTAAGCAAGTTTCTCACTCTCTGTAAATCTCCTTCTCCTCCCTCCTCTAGACAATGGAATAAAAATCCTTCCTTTTTATCAACAGCATAGGAGCAAGCTCCTAATACAAACTATGGATGTTAGTTATTATACATTAAATAGATACATTATTAAATGTATCAATATTGATTCATCAATTGTAACAAACGTACCATACTAGTGAAAGATGTCAACAATTGCTGAAAGTAGGGAGGTATATGAGAACTGGTTGTACTTTCTGTTCAAATTTTCTATAAACCTAAAAGGAATATTAAAAGCACCATGGACTGCCAAAAGAACAAACAAATCTGTGTTAGAAGAAGTACAGCCAGAATGCTCCTTAGAAGCCAGGATGGTCAGACTTCATCTCTCATACTTCAGACATATTGCCAGAAGGGACGAGTCCCTGGAGAAGGACCTCATGCTTGGTAAAGTGGAGGGTCAGCGAAAAAGAGGAAGACCCCCCCCAAAAAAGATGGATGGGCACAGTGGCAGCAGCAATGAGTTCAAGAGCAGCAATGATTGTGAGGTTGGTGCAGGACCAGGCAGTGTTTCGTTCTGTTATGCATAAAGTCGTATTAGTTGGTACCAACTTGACAACACTTAACAACAATAAAAGGACTCTAAAAATTAAAGTCTACTAATTTAAGGAGAAAAAAAATACTGTCTTCTTGCAGAATTCTTATAATAAATAAATGAATTATCAGATATAAAGCATCCAATGCCTGGCAGTAAACAAGCATCCAAGAACATCGGTTCACATCTACCTTCTTCCTTCACCTGTGAAAACAGTGGATAAATTACATTCTTCTTTGGGCACGCAAATGACCATCTCAAATATGTGAATTATATAACTGTAAGTGTTGCTAACAAAATCATGGCATAAAGTAAGGAATCAAATTTAAAAAAAGAAAACTGACGGTAGAAAGGTCGGATAGTGGCAACAGCGCAAAGGTTCAGGTGCATACAGGAAAGTGCCACTTCTCTGTCAACACCAAAGGCAGGAAACCCTCTAAGGTGAGTACTCACTGCCTCACAGCAGGGGAATCAGCACCTAAAGCGTCAGCAAATGGCATTGCTGCCAATTACTCAGAGAAGCACACTGTTTTCAGGTTAGTGTTTCTCCTGTAGAAACTAAAATCATCTTTCATTTTAGCACTCATCTACTCTTTAGTCAGGTGGCTTACCTGAAGAGTTTCGTTGTCATCTTCTTTTTCTGACTTTTTATCTTTCATTTTCCAGGCCTTTTCTTTGCTAGGATTTTGCGAGGGAGCAGCTTCAACCCACTCATCTTCAGAACTCTAAGAATACTTAGCACGTAAGTGAAATTCTTAAATTTACATACTTTGATATAAAAATTCTGTGCTATTGTTAAATGGTAGAAACTCGGCTGTCAAATATCCTAAATAAAATTCTTACACTTTCTCTCTCCGTTAAAAAAATGAAATTGAAAATTTAAAAACCACCCACTACTTTGAGTTCAGCCCACAGAGCAGCAACCAAATTAATTGTGTTTTCTTCATAGTTTATTATCAAATCAAGGAAAAACAGAAAAAAAACAAAAATTAGAGTTGCCAGGAGATAACACACTCTAGCACAGAGCTGCAATTCCTTCTGACATCAAACAATGTTGACATCTTTGCCTAAGTGTAACAGAGAAAATACACCTAAGTAAATCAGTTTGTTGCTTGCCTTTAAGTTTTAAATTTTGAAATTTCCCTGCATCTAAAAATACACAGCTCGCAGGTGACAGCTAGGCTGGAAAGGTGCTCATGTTTAAATACAAGATGATTAAATCATCCAAGAAGTATTTAGTCACTATCCACTGTTTTCAGCCTCATGCCGTGTTTTGGCTTTTGTTTTCAACAAATATATCGTTCACACTGGCTCCTTAAAACAACCCAGCCAAGTGTAACTTTAGTTTTACACATAAACAACCCAACCCACCAAACCAAACCACAGCCATCAACTCAATTCTGATTCACAGTGACCCCACAGGACAGAGTGGAACTGCTCCTTGGGGCTCCTGAAACTGTAAATCTTCACGGAAGCTGACAGCCACATCTCTCTCCTGTGGAGTGGCTGATGGGTTTGAACCACTGACCCTGCAGTTAGCAGTCTAAAGCTTAACCCACAGTGTCACCAGGGTTCTTACATATAAAGAAGCAAAATCAAATCAAATCCACTGCCATCTAGTCAATTCCAACTCATAGTAGCCCTCTAGGGCAGAGGAGAAGTCTGCCTTTGAGTTTCCCAGACTGTAAATATTTACAGGAGCAGACAGCCTCATCTTTCTCCCTTCGAGCAGCTGGTGGGTTTGAACTAATGACCTTGCAGTTAGTAGTCAAATACTTAACCCACTATGCCCCCAGGGCTCCTTTACAAATAAGGAACACTCCCCACAATTAAGTATCTTGTCCAAAGTTACATGGTATGCAAGTGGGAGAGCAAGGCTACACATTCAGGTAGATTTGGCTCTAAAATCGATTCTGTTTGGGAACTATAGAACTTAAATATAGAAACTACTTGTTAAGGTGTGAGCACCATTTAGAACCTCTGAAGTCAAGCATTTATTTACCAGTTTTACATTTATCTGTGACTATTAGACTAATGTCGGACTTTCCCAACAGGCAGCAAGTTCCATTAGTCAGAAACCACATCTATCATTGGCCTACTTTATACCCACAAGTACCTAGCTTAGAACCTTGGCAGGTAGTAGTATCTTCTTGGCAAGAAGTATCTTCTTCAATGACATACTCAAAGCTTTTACCATTTCCCATTCCCCTTGTTCTTGTTGTTGTTGTTAAGTGCCGTCGAGTCGGTTCTGACTCATAGCGACCCTATACAGGGTTTCCGAGGCTGTATATCTTTACGGGAGCAGAACGCCTCATCTTTCTCCCGTGGAACCGCTGGTAGTTTCCAACTGCTGACCTTGAGGTTCACAGCTGATTCGTCCCATTCCCCTTACTCTCAGAAAATTCTCTTTTCTTCCTCATCAAGAAAAATGAGACTACTTAAGTTTCCTATAAACGTATTTATGTCTGTGCTTATTCTCATCCAGAGTAAAAGGGCACATTACATTTAGAGGGAAAAAAGATTAAGAAAGACTATAGAATTCCTAATAGAAAGTAAACCAGAAGCCAATGAATTCACATTTTACAGTACAGAAAGAAAAAGAACCATAAACCTGAAATTCTGTACTTAGCAAAAATAAAGAACAGGCTCTCTGCTCCTCTGACAGGCAGCCGCAGCTTCTCTTGCAGTAGCAGCCGCATCCCTGAGACACAATGGTGAAGGTAGGAATCAACAGATTTGGCCAAATTGGGTGCCTGGTGTTAAATCTAGCAAAGTGGAGGTTATTGCCATCAATGACCCCTTCATTGACCTCAACTGCGTGGTATACATGTTCCTGTATGATTCCACCCATGGCGAGTTCAATGGCACTGTCAAGGCTGAGAACAGGAAACTTACCATCAATGGGAAGCCCATCTCTATCTTCCAGGAGCGAGATCTCATTAACATCAAGTGGGTGATGCTGGTGCTGAATATATTGAGGAGTCCACCGGTGTCTTCAAACATTGGAGAAGACTGGGGCTCACTTGAAGGGTGGTGCCAAAAGGGTAATCATCTCTGCCCCTTCTGCTGATGCCCCCATGTTTGTGATGGGCGTGAACCACGAGAAGTACGACAACGCCCTCAAGATTGTCAGCAATGTCTCCTGTACCACCAACTGTTTGGCGCCCCTGGCCAAGATCATCCACGACAATTTTGGCATCATGGAGGGACTTATGACCACAGTCCATGCCATCACTGTCACCCAGAAGACTGCGGATGGCCCCTCTGGGAAACTGTGGCGTGATGGCCATGGGGCTGCCCAGAACATCATCCCTGCATCTACCGGTGCTGCCAAGGCTGTGGGCAAGGTCATCCCTGAACTGAATAGGAAACTCACTGGCATGGTCTTCCGTGTCCCCACTCCTAATGTGTCTGTCATGGACCTGACCTGCCACCTGGAGTAAGCTGCCAAATATGATGACGTCAAGAAGGTGGTGAAGCAGGCATCAGATGGACCCTTAAAAGGCATCCTGGATTACACCTGAAGACCTGTGACTTTAACAGTGACACCCACTCTTCCACCTTTGATCCTGGGGCTGGTATTGCCCTCAACGACCACTTTGTCAAGCTCATTTCCTGGTGTGACAATTAATTCGGCTACAGCAACAGGGTGGTGTATCTTAAGGTCCACATGGCCTCCAAAGAATAAGAGCCCCCTGGACAACCAGCCCTAGCTACAGCACTAGAGGAAGAGAGAGGCCCTCAGCTACTGGGAATCCTTACCACAACTGTACCCCCCTTACACACTGAGAAGCTCCCATCTTCACAGTTTCCATCCAGACCCTCTAGAGAAGGGGAGGGGCTTAGAGAGCCCAGTCTTGTCATGTACCATCAATAAAGTACACTATCCAGCCAAAAAAAAAAGAAAGAAAGAAAGAAAGAACAATTTGTAAGTTCAAACCAGCCCTGGAAAATCTCAGTTTCCCTTCCCTGGTCAGTTCTGACCTCAGTCGCTCCAGGCAGTCCTTTCTCATTCCTATTTACCCCAGACCTGGTCATCAGGTACTGCTTCCTACTCTATTTCTTCAGGTCAATAACTGATGGAAAAACTTTCAGAAACTTCAAGGATAGGACTAAATTTACTCAGGAAGGATAAAGGACACAAACAAGAAGGATGAGGTCCAGGAAGGATCTTCAGCACAGAACTTCTATATCCCTCCTGAAAGCAAAATGTTTGCACTCTCTCCAATCTGGAAACCCCAGTGAGCTGCCATCTTTCAAGGCCTTTATTACCCTTAAGACTTAAGCAGTATCAGGACCCAAGGTGATTCCTTTTAGATGGTAGGCCTCCACTCTCTTGTCTCGGATATGGTCTGGCTCTCAGGAATTAGGACCAAATTGTTTACTAGAAAGGATTTCCACACCTCGCAAACTCACATCCCTATATTCCTGAAAATAAACATGAAGGATTTAACCTACTTTCTTGTCCTCTGGGTGTCCTCTCATCCCAGAAGGGGCTAGACACCATAGACTCCGCAACTCTCTTCCTTTTGTTCTAAAAGTACATATGCATATAACAGGGATAACAAACTCTCAAATGTCTTCAAACTCTTCCCTTTTGTTTACAATAATGTTCTTTCCTATTTCTTCCAATTTTCTAATTCTTTTTAGCGTCTTTTATTTCCTATCTGTACTCCTGGAGTGGCGCTGTAGGGTAAGGACTGGACTGCTAACCACAGGGTCAGTGGTTCAAACCCACCAGTTGCTCCTCAGAAACTGACTCGGCGACACTTAGCAACGACAACTTCCTATCCGAACCTTCAATAACAGTACTGTTCTTTGTTTTCAATTTCCTTAAGCATTCCATCTAGTTCAATGGTTTCAACTAGCAATGATTCCCAAACCACATGGTTATACTTTCACTTTTCTCTAGAATCCAAGATCCACATTTCCATTATTTCTTAGACAGCTCCAAGTTTCACAGGAATTTTCAGGATAGCTAGTAATAAATAGTTTTGTTTTTTTTTAAAGTTCCCATATATTATTCTACTAAATAAAATTTTCTCAAATGACTGATCTGGTCAGTTTTACTGTATACTTACAGATGAACTATCAGTTGATTCATTTTTTTCATACTTCTGTTTCTTACTCTTTTTCTTCTTATCTTTCTTTACCTTTTTTGAATGCTTTTCTTTTTTCTTCTTTTTCTTCACTGAGTGTTCCTATAAATAATCATTTTGAACAGGTTAAAAACAGGAATTTAGTTTCCATCTTATTTTAAAAGTAAGCATTTTGAGAGGAAAAAGAAAATCCATTTTCCAAAAAACTTGAAACGTTTCATCAAATGAGACTGGAATATGTGCAGCTAAATACAATCTTCCAGAGAAATGTTAGTATCCATCTATAATGCATGTCCCATTGCTGTGGCGTGGGTTCTGACTTACAGCGACCCTACAGGAAAAGCAAACCTGCCTCATAGAGTTTCCAAGGCTCAAAGCTTTATGGACGCAGATTAGCACATCTTTCTCCCATAATACATATGACTAACTAGATCTAAAATATTACACAGTTCAAAATATATTTTGTCCTTTATGTCTTAACCTTATTTTCCCCAGAAGCATGTCTGACCTGTGCTTCATAGGAATAGGCCTTGGGCTAATTTTGAGTTTGATTTTCTTTCTCCCTAGTGAAGCTGCTTTGTTATATATTTATATGACCTAATAATTTTCTATAAATCCCTTTGGGGACACAGAGAAACAGCAACTGCAGAGGCAGCACGGCAAGAAGCAATGGCAGAGGCAGTGGCATGGGAGACAGAGCAGCTGCAGGCTCTAGGCCTATGGACTGAGTAAAGCTGAGTGCCTACAGGCAAGAGACTGGCTTAAAGAATGTGCCCTTTGAGCATTCACAGACTGGCTAAAAGAGCTTTGTAACACTAGCCTGAGCTGGGCAGAGGCCAAGGGACCGACCACAGGGCTGAGAAGCCTAAAATAAGACTGAGGCGTGCCTGCAGTATGGCAGACAAGAGGAGTTTCTGACTGGAGAACTGCTATATCATGAGTTAGCAGTTCTGAATTGTACTCTCTTCACCTCCCTAATAAATCCCATAATCATGAGTATGGTTATGAGTTCTGCGTGGTCACTGCAATGGCTTTGTTGAATTCAGATGTGACGTGGAGTGCTGTGGGATGGATGGTTGATGTCAGAATAGGGTAAAGAAGGTTGTAGGGTGAAAGCATGTCTGACCTGTGTTTCATAGGAATAGGCCTTGGGCTGATTTTCAGTTTGATTTTCTCTCCCCCTAGTGAAGTAAGGGGAAGTCACACATGGCTCTCATGTGGTCTTTGCACACCTGTTGATGTATTTATTTTATTCTACCTATCAAATGAACCCACAAATAAATTTATATTAAAACTAAAACTTCTCTCATATGTTTATGGTAAGAAACCTCAGCTATATGATCTATTAATATATATATACACATACATATCACATATATAGTATTGTTGTTAAGTGCCGTTGAGTCAGCTCCAACCCATAGTGACCCTCCATAGGGTTTCCAAGGAGCAGATGGTGAGCTTGAACCACCGACCTTGCGGTCCAAACTGATTTTGCAATCCAGTGCATTAACCCCCAGTGACACACCCATAACATTATATATTGTTGTTGTTAAGTGCCACTGATTCAGTGCCAACTCATAGTGCTCTGATGCACAACAGAAAGAAAAACTGCTCAGTAGTGTTTCATCCTCACAGTCTTTCTGAAGCTTGAGCCCACTGTTTCAGTGATTATGTCACTCCATCTCACTGAGGGTATTCTTCCTTGTCACTGACAGTCTATCAAGCATGATATCCTTTTCCAGAAAACATATCCAAAGTATGGGAGACGAAGTCACAATCGCCATCCTAGCTTCATTCTGGGTGTACCTCTTCCAAGACAGAATTGTCTGCTCTTCTGGCAATCTGTGGTATATTCAACATTCTTTACCAAAACCATAATTCAAATGCATCCATTATTCTCCACTCTTTCCTATTCATGTGTATCATTCACATGTATATGAGGCAATTAAAAACACCACAGCTAGGGTCAGATGCACACTTGAATCCTCAAAGTCACATCTTTACTCTTCAACACTCCAGAGAGATCTTGTGCAACACATTTGCCCAATGCAATATGTCCTTTAATTTCTTTTCTCTGCATTTAAAATAATCCATTGTATCCTGTAATTTACCTGGCATCCTCACCACCTGGGTCTCTGTTGCTATATTTGTCCCTTCTTTAACATTGATATACTTTTGGTCTTCAGTTGTTCTCTCAGCTCCTTTGATTTTGTTGTTGTAGTCTTGTTCTGTTCTAGACTCTGCTATCTGTTGACTGAGTTCCAGGTGGTGTTGCCACACCTGTCAATCTCTGTTTGTTGTCTGTTCTTGTTGGTTTTTCAGTCCACAGAACTCCCTTTAGGATGTTTTGAAGTGCTGGGTTGGTTTTGATAAAATCTCTCAGATTCTGTTTATCCTGGAATGTTTTGATTGCATCACTGTATTTGATTGATAGTTTTGCTGGATAGACGATTCTTGGTTGACAATTTTTTCTTGTAGGGCTTTGTATCTGTCTCCCCATTGCCTTCTTGACTGCATGGTTTGTTCTGAATAGTCAGAGCTTAATCTAATTTGCTTGCCTTTGTAAGTGACATTTCTCTTCTCCCTGGCAGCTCTTTCCCCCTTGTCTTTGATTTTGGAGAGCTTGATTATTATACGTCTTGGAGACTTTCTTTTGGGGCCTATCCTTCCTGGGGTACGTTCGGCTTCTTGAATGTTTATCTTCTCATCTTTCAAGATGTTAGGGAAATTTTCTTCCAGAAGCATTTCAACTAGCTCCTCTGTGGACTTCTCTGATTCTTCCTGTTCCGGAATGCCAATAATTCTTACGTTATTCCTCTTCATGTTTTCCAGAATGAATCATAGACTGTCTTCTGAATTTTTTATCCTTTTAGCTGCTTG